GAGCATTGGTATATAGGCATTTAAGGCCTTGCCTAGCTGCGTGTGCCACCCCCCGATTTGGAAGACTGTCTGGACCCCTGTTTCTTACCTGGGCACTCCTTGCATTTGTCACGTGTCTTGCTCGGGTGGTGTCTCCTCGTCTTCCTGTGGCCCCCTCCCCCGGTGAGGCTAGTTTAAAGCTTGCCGTACAAGATCAGCCAACCTAGAAGAGAAGACACGCTTGCCTTTAGGAGAGAGGTGAAGCCCATCCTACCCCAGCAAGTCCCCCGCCTGAAAGCATGGGTCATTATCTAGGAACCCAAGGCCTGCCTGGTGGCACTAACTGCGTAAGCACTAGTAGACCTCACCAATGCATGCCTTGTGTTGCCATCCCCGCCTACTCACGGTAAGAAGAGAGGAGAATACCACCTGCACCCGTCTCCTTAAGCTTGTCCCCCAGAGCCTTGAAATCCTTCATAATGTGGTCAGGGTTGCCCCTGGCCACATCATTTGTTCCCACATGGATGACAGCCATGGGGTACTGGTCTGCAGGTCGGATGTAGGCCAGGATCCTCTCCATGATGTTCCTAACCTGAGCCCCAGGCATGAAGCACACCTCTTGCATCATGGGGTCAGGCTGGCAGATGGGACCTTCCAGTCCTCATAGGATGGAGTCTCCAATGGTCTGTGGGAAGCAGATCACTGGAGGTAGACCATTAAGAGCTGCTCTGCCTGCCTCCTACAAGATGGTCTGGGCACATCTAACAATAATAGGGCACACCCACCAAGTGCTAGCATGCCTAGCCTGGCACCTGGCTTACCTGGTGTTGTTAGGCTGGGATTGCCCCCCCACCCCATGCTGGATTTGTTGGGCACCCTCGCTAAGTGGAAGACACCCCTGCATAAGCCTGAGGCAGAAGGACTCTTAGGCAAGTCCAAGCTGAGAACGAGCTCTGGAAGGCCTACCCACATGGGGGAGACTGATGTGGACAGACAGTAGGAGCCAGAAACAGGACAGTTCATAGTAGAGCAGTCCTGGGAGTACAAATTCAGGTGGGCTTATGAAGGAGGCATCACCTGGGTGGAGGAAGAGGTGGTGCAACCCAATCTAGAGTGGATGATGCCCTGATTTGAGGTAAAGGATAGGTGTTATTGTACCGAGTAGATCATGGGGTGGAGCTGGGGAATGAGGTCACCCAACTCTTAGTACTAAAAAAGAACCAGAGGGCCCTGCTAAGAATTGCCCATGAGCTCTCTAGTGGAGGCCACCTGGGGGAAGAAAAAAAGCAGGGAATGCTTCTTAGGTTCTTTTGGCCAGGGATCTGGCAGGAGGTAGGGCAGTTTTTCTGGTCTTGCCTGGAGTGCCAGCTGGCACACCCAGGGCATCCATCAAAAGCCCCACTGATCACCATGATGTTCACAGAAGAATCCTTTGAGCAGGTGGCAGAAGGCTTTGTAGGGCCTTTGCCCCAGTGTAATGCAAGGCTCCAATACATTTTGGTCTGGGTGGACTACATCACCTAACATCCAAAGGTGGTACCCATGAGAATGGTGACCACAGGAAAGACAGCAAATAAATCTCTCTTTCACACAAATTCCTTCACTCTAAGCTTGCTGAGAAGAAAGAGGCTGCAGGGAAGAGGGAACCCTTCAAATCAAGGAACAGCAACCAGGCCAACTAAACAGGAGTTTTCTAGGCAAGGTTTTCTTGTAAAGAGAGGCAATAAGTGAATGGGAGCAGATTAGAAGACCCAGAGAAATGTCTGGAGAATGTCACAATCCCAGAACCACTGCCACTTCTAACTCTTCCTCTGCTTTTGCCTGTGGGTGTCAGTCCAGGCAGGACCACCCACTGTTGAGGCTTCCACCCAGGTCCTAGTTTGGTGCTATGCAGACTGCAGCTTGAAGATTCCTTTCAGTGTCAGCCAGGTGGGGGAGTGTCTGCAATGTGAGTGGTGCCTTCTGGTGGCGTCCGTCAAGGAGAAGGCAAGAGAGGTACAGGAGGAGGCAGCAAGGCTCTGAAGTATCCTTCACCACAGCGGTTCCCAACCTCAGGTCGCAACCCAAATGAAGGGGACAGGGGCAATGCCTGTAGTATCACACACAAATGACAAGCTGCACCATGTGCAAGGAGCTCCCCCGTGCCCAACCCCAGGCCGCCGCTGCCACTACACTTTGCTCCCAGCAGTGGTTCACAGCCAAAAATGGTTGGGAACCACTGCTCTGCCATGAAGACTTCAATGATTCCATGCTGAAGGAAACTTCTAGGACTGTGGAGGAAGGACTGCCAGGCAAGGAACTATAACATGACAGGAATAACAGAAACTTGGTGGGATAGCTTCCATGACAGGATGAGTACAAACTGGATCCAGGAAGGATAGGCAGGAGAGAAGAGAAGGAGGAATTGTGCTGTATGTAAAAGAGCTGTATGATTATTCAGAGCTCCAATATGAAACTGGAGATAGGCCTGTTGAAAGTCTCTGGGTTTAAGTTAGAGCAGAGAGCAACAAGGTTGATGCTGTAGTGGGTGTCTGTTATAGACCACCAGATCAGGGGGATGTTGTTGGTGAGGCTGTCTTCAGACAACTAAGGGAAGTTTCCAGATCGCAGGCCCTGGTTCTCATGAGGGACTATAATGACCCAGATCTGTGCTTGGAAGACAAAACAGCAGTGCACAGGCAATCCAGGAAGTTTTTGGAGATCATTGGAGACAACTTTCTGATGCAAGTGTTGGAGAAACCAACTTGGGGACCATGCTGTTCTGGATCTACTGCTCACAAACAGAGAAGAATTGGTGGGGGATGTAGAAGTGGATGGCAAGTTGGCAGCAATGACCATGAGATGACTGGGTTCAGGATCCCGACCAATGGAAGAAAGGAGAAAAGCAGGGTAAGGAGCTTGGATTTCAGGAAAAAAAGACTTTGACTCCCAAAGGAAAATGATGGGCAGGATCTCCTAGAAGGCCAGTCTAAGGGGAAAAGGAGTCCAGGAGAACTGGTTGTATTGTAAAGAAACCTTACTGAGGGTGCAGGAAAAAAAAAAAATCTGGTATGCAGGAAGAATAACAAATGTGGCAAGTGGCCAGCTTGGTTTAGCAGAGTACTATTTGGGGAGCTTAAACACAAATAGGAAGTTTACAAGAAGTGGAAGCTTGGACAAACAACTTGGGAGGAGTATGAGAATATTGCCTGGCCATGCAGGGATGAAGTCAGGAAGGCCAAAGTACAAATGGAGTTGCAGCTATCAAGGGACATGGGGTGTAACAAGAAGGGTTTCTACAAATATGTTAGCAGCAGGAGGAAGTTCAGGGAAAGTGTGGGTCCCTTACTGAATGGGGGAGACAGCCTAGTGACAGAGGAAAAGGCTGAAGTACTCAGTGCCTTTTTTACCTCTGTCTTCAGAGGCAAGGTCAGCTTCCAGAGTACATCAATTGACATGACAGTTTGGGGAGAAGGTGAGCAGCCCTCAGTGGTGAAAGAACAGGTTAGGGATTATTTAGAAAAGCTGGATGTGTATAAAGCTATGGGATTGGAAACAATGCATCTGTGGGTGCTGAGGGAGTTGACTAATGTGACTGCAAAGCTGCTGGCCATCATCTTCAAAAATCCATAGTCATCAGGGGAGATCTTGGATTATTGGAAAAGGACAAATATAGTATCCATCTTTAAGACAGGGTAGGAGGAGGATCCAGGAAACTACAGATCAGTCAACCTCACTTCAATCCCTAGCCAAATAAAGGAGCAGGTCCCCAAAGAATCCATTTCTAAGCACTTGGAGAAGGTGATTAGAAAGTCAGAATGGATTCAACAAGGGAAAGTCATGCCTGACCAACCTGATTGCCTTCTAGGATGAGATAACTAGCTCTGTGGATGAGGGGAAAGCAGTGGATGTAATATACCTTGACTTTAGCAAGGCTTTTGATACTGTCTCCCAAAGCATTCTGGCAAGCAAGCTGTGGATGAATGGACTGTAAGGTGGATAGAAATCTGGCAGGATTGTCAGGCTCAATGGGTAATAATCAATGGCTTAATGTCTACTTGGAAGCTGGAATCAAGAGGAGTGTCCCAGGGGTCAGTACTGGGGCCAGTTTTATTCAATATTTTCATTGATGATCTGGAAGATGGGATAGATTGCACCTTTAGTAAATTCACAGATTTCACCAAGCTTGGGGGTGCAGTTGATAAACTGGAGGGTAGGGCTAGGATTTAGAGTAACACAGACAAATGGGAGGATTGCAAATGGGAGGACTGGGGCAAAAGAAATCTCATGAGGTTCAACAAGTGCAAAGTCCTGCACTTAGGATGGAGGAATCCCAAGTACTGCTATAGCCTGGGGACTGACTGGCTAAATAGCAGCTCTGAAGAAAAGTATCTGGTGGTTACAGTGGACAATAAGTTGGATATGAGTCAGCAGTGTGTCTTTGTTGCCAAGAAGGATAACAGCATACTGGGCTGCATTATTAGGAGTGTTGCCAGCAGGGGAAATAATTATTCAACTTTATTCTGCACTGGTGAGGCCACATCTGGACAAATGTGTCCAGTTTTGGGGCCCCCACTATAGAAAAGTTGTGGACAAGTTGGAGGGAGTCCAGAAGAGGGCAATGAAAATGATTCAGAGGCTGGGGCACATGGCTTACGAGAGACTGAGAGAACTGGGTTTATTTAGTCTGCAGAAGAGAAGCTTCAGCACAAAGCCCAGTGGCACATGTGCTAGAAATGAAGGAAAGACTGCAGGCTGTGCAAGCATTAGCACAAGAGAACCTACAAATGTCTCAAGTTAGACAGACTGCTGGATACAATAAATGGGTCCGTGAAAGACAGTTTAATGAGGGTGATTGCGTAGTTGTGTTGCTCCCTCATGACATCTCCAAGTTAATGGCCACGTGGCAGGGTCCATAAGAGGTGATAAAACAAATGGCCCCAGTGGACTGTGAGGCATGGTAGCTAAGTAGGCATAAAACCTGGTAGATACACCATATCAACCTTTTAAAAAGGTGGGTAGACAGGGAGGCCCTGACCATTTCTGCCAACCATGAGCTGGACACGTTTGGACCAGAAGTGCTGGGCCAAGTCAGAAGGGCCTGTCCAGATGGGAACAGGTCTAACACAGATGCAGCAGGAGCAAACTGCTCAGGTGGTGAAGCAATTTGGAATGGTGTTTTCAGAACAGCCGGGGAAAACTCAATGGGTAGAAGACTGGATAGAGACCCTGCTAGGAAAGATGGTACAGGAGGATTTTACAAAAGGATTATATGGGTGAATCCCTCAAAAACTCCCAGAAGCTTCCCGTATGCAGGGAAGTCACCCAGATGCTGGCAGATGGGGTGGTGAGAGAATACAGAAGTGCCTGGCAGAACCCAATCATCATGGTCCCAAAGAAGGATCGGACCATGCAGTTTTACATTGATTTTAGGAAGTTTAACAGCATAACATGCTTTTATGTTGAACCCATGCCTTGGGTGGAGAATCTGCTGGAGCAGATAGGGGGAGCATGGTATATCTCCACCACAGACATGGCCAAGGTGTGCTGGCAAATACCCCTAGAAGTGAACTCCCAGATGAAGACAGTTTGCCACACCATGGGTGCTTTATGAATTTGTTCTAATGCCATTTGGTCTGCTCAGAGCGGCGGTGATCTTCCTGTGCCTAAAGGATAAGGTGTTGCTGCCTCATTGGGGATACACTGCTGCATACATTGATGACATGGTGGTGTACTCAGGGACCTGGGAAGAACACCTATGACATCTGACAGCATTGTTAGAAGAACTGCAAGCCATGGGCCTGGCCACCAACCCCAAGAAGTGCACACTGGGAAAAAAGGTCACCCAATATTTGTGCTTCTGAGTGGTAAGAGAAACATACAACCTTCGATAGACAAAGTGCAGGCCCTACACGATTATTACCTGCAATGGACAAAAAACCCAAATGCAGCCCTTCTTGGGGCTGCCTAATTACTACCACCACCTAGTACCCCAGTTTTCAGACAAAACATCTCCACTGTTTGAGCTAACCAAAGACTCAGCCCTGAACTGGATCATCTGGACAGCATAAGCTGAGAAAGTTTTCCAGCAGGTCAAAGTGTTACATATGCAGCCTGTGATATACATTCTGGACTTCTCAAAACCCATCCTAGTGCAGGAAATCACATTGGATGTGGCCCTATGGGCAGCGATACTTCAGCAACAGAACAATGGGGAACACCTGGTGGTGTATTTTAGTAGAAAATTGCAACCCCAAGAGGAGAGGTATGCCACCATAATAAAAGAATGTTTTGCCCTGAAATGAGCCATTGACAATTTCTGTCATTATTTGACAGGGCAGAAGTTTATAGTGATAACAGACCACGCACTATTTCAGTGGCTGAAAAAGGCCAAGATAGACAATCCCAATTGTTATGCTGGAGAATAGGGCTGCAGGGCTTTTATTTTTCCTTAGAGCATCACCCAGAATGATAGAACTGAAATGCAGAATTCTTTTTGCAGAAGAGTAAGGGAGGGGAACTGTTGGCCCCACAGACATGTGAGCCAGGGACTAGGGAGGAGGTGTATAACAGGGCCCAGACCCTTCACTGCAGAGAGGAACACATCTGAGACACTTTTGGCCAGGGACAAGTCTGCCCCCTCCCTTCCATTGTGCCCATCAGGAGACAGATGCAGCTGCACCACAGCTGCATGTACCAACCAGAAGCAGTCTTTTTTCTTTAATCCTTATTGTTGATTTAAGGTATGAGTTACAGACTCTGGCCAGAAAGCCCAGGGCCTGAAGGAAAGCCTATAATTCCAGGGGAAGGCCTCAGGCCAGCTCTCCAGGTAGGCCAGGGTCCAGATTGGTGGATCCTTGGCTAACCCTCTGCAGCTAGATTAAAAGGGTCAGGGGTGGTGGTGTCCCTGCATGAGTGGTACTGACACCCAACCCAACATGCCCAACAATGCCCTTCCAGCCCTATAACTACCTGGGTGGCTCACATAAGGGCAGTGCCTGGCAGGACTCTTCTTAGGTAGCTAGGGTCTGGAGAACATCTCCTGGGGTCAGGTCAGGGGTTCAGTAGCACATCAACAGCAGTGATAATCACAAACTCATCTAGGGGTGACAGCAAAACATAGCAGAGCCACAGGTAGCACACAAGGTGTGTTTTCATGTTGGATGACAACTTGGACTTCCCTGGCACACTGCCAAAGCAGATGGCACCCCACTCCAGATCTTGAGCACCTCCTGGGGGACCATGTCCTGCAGCAGGAGCATGGAAGTAATGGTAAAGCTCATCCCTTTGGGCCCAGCTGACTCTCACCATGGAAATGCTGATAGTGAAGTTCCACTCCTACACTGACAGTGCTAAAACACCTCTCCTTGGGAAGGGTAGGGATAGGGTGTGGTGTAACAGCTCTGCTGTCCTTGCCAAATCTCACCAGGGAAAATGTCAGGTCCTAAGTACCACTCCTGCAGGGACACGCATGTGAAATGCCTCTCAAATAAGGGAAGGACAAATGGAGATGGCAGTATAAGAGCTTCACTGGCATTCCTCAAAGTGGTCGGTCCCTGTCTGCTCTGAGACAGTCCAAGCTCCTGTGGGACCAGCATCCCTGGACCCTCTTGGGGAGCAGAACAGGTGCCCAATGCAGTGCGTACAGAAGGACCCAGGCCCTCCCTTCCTGGCAGCCCGTCCCAGCAAGTTCTGCTCCCCACCTGCAGCACACTCAGGACCCTGGTTTCCACTGTACTGAGTAGAAAGCAGCAGCATGGCTCC